TCAGAACCCTCCACCTCGAATCGGAAGAGGGATGAAAAACTAATCCAATCAGGAGACAACAGAGATCTTTTGTATCAAGGACTAAAGAGTTCTTTCACAACATATAGTTGAGAGATACCTCGTGATCGCTAGGCAGGAAAAGGCCAATTTACCGACACCCTCCCGGCCTGCACGTGCACACAGGATCTATACAGCGTGACACCCCATGACCCATTGACCATCTGCTTCCTGTTCTTCAGCACATTTTCAACTCACTATTTCTTTCCAACAAATAAACACAGAAACTTACACAGACAATTTCAAAAAGACAATCATTTAAAATATTGCCACTAGGGCAACTTTATCCATGAATAATGTGTTTTTTCCTTTCTATGCTCGATGTGTTTTATGTAATCGATGTAGTTTAATCAATGTTTTATAACCCTTTTTAGTAGATAAGGTTATTAATGTGTATGCAAGATGTCTGATATTTGAGCTTGAATGAAAGCTTATTTTATGTGCAAGACTTTGGTGGGAACGAAATGTTGATTTTCGGTATCATACGCATGATTAAGAAACTTTATAGAAGTATTAACAAAATCTGGCAAGGATGTTCCCCACGTGATAAATTGAAGCATCATGTTATTTAATGCACGAAGATGAACCTTGCAGGGCGTGGCTAAGCCCTGCAGCCAATATCTGATTGGAACAATCGCTTCTGGGATGGACCAAATCGGCTCGCTTAAAACCAAATGTCCCAAACAGATCAGCGCTCTTTCGCTCTTTCGCCTGTGTTCGACTGCACTCCAACTGGTGCTGACACGCTGCACCATCCAGCGATTGGGTCATCCAGGACTCCCAAACACTCCGTTGAAGCTTCGTGCCGAAATCTTCAAAGTCTAAAGCCACGCAAAGAAACTCTCAGAAGAACTTCATGCGCCTCACCATCCGTAGCCAAGGCAACCGACTTCCGAAGCTCTTCCGTTGGTTGCTCTTCCAGCAACCAACCATTCACCACGAGGTCTCTCCCAAAAGGACGTTATCCAAACGACAGATCGGCAACCAATCAGAAGTTCCGGGATTCCCTGGGACGAGCCAACGAGGAAAATCCCTCTCAGCTCTCAACTCAAATGCAAGTAAAACAAGGTTTCCTTACTAGCTGGAAAACTGGTGCTGAATTGATCTTAAGCAACTAAAGATAAGCCAAATCTCTGCTTTTGTGATTTTCTTGGTGCGATCTAAGAACGAATAACTTACTAGACTTTTGGGACTTCCTCAGAACTCCGTTACCTCTCATCCTTCGAACTGTGTGTGTGTGTGTGTATGTGTGTTTTCATTAGTAGTACCATGTAATCTATAGAGTAGTTCAAATAAATTCATGTTTCATTATAAATAATAATTTTCTTGTGTTGTGTATTTAAAGTTAAACTGTGGCCAAGGATAATACAAATATCCAAATTGTTAAGATATACTGATGTTAACGTCTCACTGGACGAACAGTTGATAAAGTGTGAACTATTAAATTTGGAACCAGTTCAATCAGGTTGATTTTGAATCTTCAGATTCAATTCCCCTCTGAAAAGAGTTAAATTCCTTACAGAGTGAAGGCTGTCTCCCTCCACCCTTAACCCTTTGGGGTCGACAAACGCAGATACGCGTTTTGTAGCATCTTCTCCTGATAACACCGAAAAGAACTTAAATTACACTTTCAGTTTTGATCTTACAAATAAAAGCAATACATCAATCGAATCTGTAAATGGTCTACTTTTATTTGTATACACACATAATAACAACAAAACTTTGTGCATTTATAAAATAAAGAAAACAAACAGGGTATGATGTCTGCCGCCTTGGTCTGCGTGATCTTTATTTAGAAACGCGTCATTAAAATGAACTGTAACTCAGCAAATACTCAACAAAGAGACATAAGAGATATATTTATAGAAAGCTTCACATGTCTACTTTTAAACTAAGCAAGTCTTATCGAAAGCAAATATTCTGTGATAAAGTAATCATATGAAACCAACGCGATGTCCAGTCTTTCACGTCTCCCTTCATTATATCTA